CGTAAGAGAGAGACAGGTCCAGAGTGAGGGGCAACAGGTGTAGGAGGAGAGAGGGGGTAGGGTGCGAAGGTTGGGAGAAAGGAAAAATGGATTCATGAAATTTGACTTCACGACTAACCAAAAATTTGTTGGTGTCCAAATTGTAAAGTTTATAACCCTTCTGAGTTGCTGGATAGCCAACAAAAATGCACCGGTGGGCGCGGGGAGCAAACTTATTGGGGGGATGAATATTAGTGGCGTAACAAAGGCTCTAAAAAACACGTAAAAGAGCAAGGGAATGTGGACATTTGTAGAGGATTGCGAAAGGGGATTTGTTGGAAAGTAAGGGTGAAGGAAGACGGTTGATAAGATAGACAGTAGTAAGGACACAATCACCCTAGAAGGGTATAGGGACGTTAGACTAAAAATGCAGGGTACGCACGACTATGAGAATATGATGGTGTTTACGTTCAACGACCCCGTTCTGTTGTGGGGTGATGATGCAAGTGCCCTGAAGTTCAATACCAGTGTTTTGAAAGAAACTTCGCATGGAAAGTATTTCAGATCCATTATCAACTCGAATAGTTTTAATTGTGGCCTGGAATTGAGTTTTAGAAAAAATGATAAAGGATTGTAAAAGATGTTGAGTCTCAGATTTGTGGGCCATTAAAAATACCCATGTACATCTACTAAAATCATCCATAATAGTAAGAAAGAAACGTGCACCAGAATGTGTAGGAATTCTGTATGGACCCTAAAGATCACAATGTAAGAGCATCTCCAATGCACTAGGCATATAATACTTGTTAGTTAAAATGCCTAGTGTGATTCACTTTTTTCAATTCCAATACACTAGGCATATGATTAGGCATTTTAGCTCAACTCATATATATTCACTAGCTACATGTGCTAGCCTTCAACGCTAGGCAAAATGTATTTAATCATTAGGATCATTTCCCTCCATCTTTGTTGTTGATGTGACATTCTATAAAATTAATAGTATTTGGATAAATAGCTAAAATAAAGAGCATGATTGGAGTAAAAACATAAAACAGTTGATAGGCAAAATAAAATATATACTTTATAGTAATATTTAGATAGGTAAAATGTCTACTACCGTTAGAGATGCTCTAATAGAGCAAAAGGTGCTTTAGTTGTTATTGAGCTGATGGGAAATGGTAATCTAGTCTGTTTGGCCAGAGGACAGATATGACAATGATCATTACAAGAAATATTGCTAGAACATAGTGAAGGAGCTGCAAGTTTGAGGCGAGATGGTGAAGGGTGTCCAAGGCGCAGATGCCACAAAGCGGACGTGTGAGAAACTTGATGGGAGACATGAGTCCTTTGCAAAGGCGACATATAATAGAGACCACCATGTCGTTTATCCGAACCAATCATCTTCCCCAAAGCCAAGTTTTGCAAAACGCAAAAGGTGGGAAAGAAAATGGCACAACAATTATGGGAATTAGTGATTTTGCTGGTGGACATAAGATTTAAATTAAAAGATGGAACACATAGAACGTTGGTTAACATGATGTCAGCGTTAAAGGGGATAGTGCCAGTACATGTGATTGGAGTAGAAGAGCCAGTGGGTAACTTAACAATGGGTATGGAAAGTTGGACAGTGGTATTGAAAGATATGGGATCGGATGAAATATGCTCGGTGGCTTTGCTATCCAAAATCCATGGCTTAGTATATGCAGAGTTTATTGAAATATTGGAAAGAAGAGTCAGACCCGCGGCATTTGCATAGATGT